CTCTTTTCCCCGGGCGTGGCCCCCAGTGGGCGTGCCCCTGCCTAGGCGCTATTGCGGGCTTTTGGCTGCTTTCAGGACAGGGACCCGTTGGGATAACAGACCCCGCTGCGCCATCTCAAAGCAACTACCCCTCTGCCGCGGCGCCATCCACCGGAAACGGACCCAACCTCACGAGCACTAATACTCTGAGTCGGCCACTCGCGGTCTACAGATTCGTGTTCTTCATAAGCTAAGCCTGACCCGTAGCTTCTAATCCAGCCTGGTCAAACAACAGCGGCGGCGCATCCCTTTCCCGCTATTTTAAAACTGGGTCCGGTCTCTCCCATGCCTTTGATATAACAGAACTTGCGGCGGCTGGCTGTGCCTACAGTCTGACCGCGCGGAGCAATAGCTGGCGTCTGTTACTCACCGCATCGGCCCCCTCCGGGTAACTAGGTGCTCCGCCATTCTGGTGTCCTCCTTCGTCCCGCTGTTGGAGGATGTCCTCCAAGCCTTCTTGGCCTCCGCCGCGCGATTGCTCGCGCTCTGCCATCACTTCGCTGTTACTGGCGACCGATATGCCAGCAACGTCAAATCGCCTTATCTATTTTACTATTGAGCTGGGTCCCGAATACAAAGTAAATCACTATTTAAACAATTCAAAATCCCCAACAGACGACGTTCTGACTTGCGCTTGCTTGCACGGTTGACTGGCGAACTAGCGTTGTCTGGATTCAGCGCTTTGTTCCCAGCTAATCTTTGTAACGCACTACCGTATCAGTCACTGTCCTCTGGCCAATTCCGGTCTGCTCCTCCCGCGCCGCACTTGCCGTACTACACTACAGGACGAGCACTTAATCAACATGCAGCATTCAAGCGTACGAAGTCTAGGCAACATGCATGACCCTGCTCTATTGAGCAATGCCCAAAACATTATTCATGTTTACTGGAACGTTAGCCTCTGGCAAGAGCAACGCACTCGGTATGCTGTTACCGCCAGGAATGCGCGGACGTGATTGAATACGTTTTTCTAAGATCCTATACGTCCCTATACGTTCACACATTATGGGTTCCCACTCCATGGCTCCAAGCCTTAAGCAATTGTTTGCTTCAAATTATGCTACAAATAGCGGGTTTTGGTAAGCCTGGTCCAGTAAGCGTACTTGTGCGCGTACTTCGGCATACCATGGACGTTGTTAGTCTGCCGTCGGCAAACCTACGTGACGTTTTCACACGCGTTGTGGCACCCAATAAGCTACTATAGATATAAGGGACCTGTTTGCTCATTCGTAAGAGCGCCGCGGGCTTGTGTAGCATTGTCGCAGGGGAGCCCTCGCGAATACGTTTTTCTAAGATCCTAAACGTCCCCATACGTTCACACATTATGGGTTCCCACTCCATGGCTCCAAGCCTTAAGCAATTGTTTGCTTCAAATTATGCTACAAATAGCGGGTTTTGGTAAGCCTGGTCCAGTAAGCGTACCTGTGCGCGTACTTCGGCATACCATGGAGAACCAGCCGCCAGGAGAAGTGCAGGGATGCAAAGCGGTGGGGGCACTGCTGGTGCTGGCGGGCGTGCCACTGGTGCCGGCAGGATCGGCACTGGCTATGGCGGCGGTGCAGCTGGCCCTGTGACTGGTGTACCTGGTGATGGCCAGGTAGGCACTGGCTATGGCGGCGGTGCAGCTGGTGCTGGTGGGGTTGCACCACCCCCAGCACCAGTGCCAGATGCCGCTGGCCATGGTGAAGGTGCTGCTCGTCTCGGGGCTGCTGCTTCAGTCGGCAGGTGCACCACAGGACAGGGCGCCAGCGCAATAGACGACGAAGACGAAGACAACAGCATGGATGAGTCGAACCCCGTCGACAGTGATGCCGAGCCATCCATAGTGGATGAGCCGTCAACGGCGCGCAACCCTGCTGGATTACCGGAGATGCAGCTAAGGGAGGGTGGTGACACCTACGAACGTGCAACGGCTGCAGGTCAGTTAATTAGTGGCCAGGATCCAGTCATGTGCCTTGGCCAACCTGCTGATGATGTGAACCCCTTGTTGATATATGCTGCTTCATGTTTCTCTGTACATATGGGCAAGCCATTTCGCCCGCCAACATGCACCACTTGACCCTAAGTTAAATATCCTGGGCTGACCATGCAACACATGCCCATTCATGCTTGCAGGTGATGGTCGGGTCGGCATGGGTGCTGAATCCCGGGGCTGTTTTGCGTCCACGCGGAGAATGTTGAATAACACCAGTTGGGACGAAAGGCTGGTTCCTCTTGACCTAGAAACCACGATGGAGTCATTACTGCATTTCCTTGCGGAGCCGGTCACCGCATGGATGAATACGCCACAGCATTTATTCAGGCGTCGTCAGACGACGTACATCAACGTCTCCAAAGCTTTGGGGGCCCAGCCCCACCCTTCACTGTAAGTACACAGTTGGACAGTGTTACGAAGATTGTAAAGGATGCAAGGTTACATTCCGCTATTTCGCCATTCGAGTCATTGCAGCCAGACGGGAAGGCGGTATGGAACTTTGTTACTGGGGCCTGGGTCGGGGTAGTGTTTTCATGCGTGAACAATCAGCGGTGTTAAAGAGGTGGGTGCGTGGCATCAAAGGCCTCCTTGGGCATAACAACACACGCACGAATGTATTTTTAGGCAATTTTATGGCTGGCCAAGGCTTAAGTACTTCACGTATTCATTTGTGCGCAGTTCCTAGTTTCTGAATGCGTTTGCCTGTAGCGATCCTGTTTGGGGTTCTTTGTTACCTGTGACCCACGGGTCAGATTGCCTGGAGTGACCCGAGTACGACCATATTTTCCACGTAATGATATTTTTATCGCGTATGTACCCTGTACGTCCATACATGCTTGGTCAGGAGGTCACAGTACAACAGTCTGCGGGAGCAAACGAAGCAGGTGGCTGACGGGTACCGTGGCGAGGCAGCTGCCTTCCGACGACAACACGACGACATTATGAAGGTCCAGAAAAAGCTCCTATCTGCTGCCGAAGAGCTGCAGGGCGAGATGGACGCACTGTGGTCAGCTGCTGCCGTACGGGAGCAGTCAGCTGCGCAGTTAGAGCAGAAGGGAAAATTTGACGCGCACCAGCTATTCCGCCAGCAGTACGAGCTGGGCACTTCATTTACATTAGAATCACGCGACGTTGAACCTTTCGCGCCGGCCTTCTTCACCACGGATGTGGTGAATGCAAGGACATTGCTGGAGGAGCGCATGCGGGAGTTGCCTGGGCCAGCAGATCAGCCAGGCGCGGCCATCACAGTCGCGGATGCTCCAGACCTTGCCACGGATAGGGTTGCATGCAGGTGTGCGCGTGTGATGGATAATCGAAGGAAGACGTGCTTTGTCGCAAACAGGCATGCGTGGTATCTAGGCAAGTTTCGTTGTTCCCAGGGCTGAATTTGACATAACGTTTGGAGGGGCGTGCAGACGTGTACAGGGATTCGACCCATTTGCGCGCCATGGCTAGCCAGGTTCGCTGCTTTGAACGGAGTCGGCGAGGTTGCGCGATGTGTGAGGTGTGAGATTGCAAGCGTGAGTGCAGCAGTGGGCGTTGTATGCGGGCGCTAAGTTTCCTCCAGCGGTGCAACGGACTTTGCCTAATTCGACGGATACCTGTATTTTCCTACATGTAAGAGCTCGGATTCATGTTTCTATGTCATCTCTGTACTTTGTAGTCATGCATCACTATACGGCGGTGGTAAAACATTGACGAACAGCAGCCGGTCATGGTGCAAATGACATCAATGAAATACGCGTATTAAAGACCTCAAATACATCAAGTTACTTTATCACGAAAGTGTTCCTCAAATAAATTTTAAGTGTCACTAGCCAACCAAAAATTGGGCCACTCATTCGTGACTGCTACCTGAAGTTGGTAAGGCAAAGCTATTGTTAGTTCACCTAACCAACAGAGCCAATTTCGCTTACTAATTGTCTACCTCATGCAATGGGAAATTTCGTTTGAAGCATTGCTTTGCTGTAGGGCTGGGTAGTATATGCCGTACAAACTGGTATGGTGCTGGGCCATCGGGAAGGTCGCCGGGATTGCGGGAAATCGATGGCGCTAGGCGGCGCGAGTCACTCCTGGACCTTCCCTAACTCGTCGGGCGCGTCCGGTGAGGGCGCTTCAGCCACGGCGAAATACTCCCCAGGGAAAATCGTTTGGGGAGATTCTCAGGCTCCCCAAGGGGAGAGAGCCTCGGTACAAAGGGCCCTCCCTAACGGCAGAGGTCCCCACGGCTTGGGGACGCAGCCATAGCTGCCCTGGCCATTTCTGCAGTATCGTGCCATATGAAAGAGTTTAAGCAGGGATACTGCGTTTAAACACCTTGATGCAAGCATTTACAGATGCAACTGTGGGGCGGTCAGAGGCGGTCGAAGATAGAATGCACGTTGAGAGAGGTGAACCAATGGTTCACTGTCCACACTTGCAGCGCGCCAGAGATCTTCAATGCCATAAATACCAGGGGCTTTCACAGCTATGAAGCACAACCCAATAAGCAGGACATGCCTCGTGAAACGATGTCGACGTATGATATTGAGCCAAAAGTTGTTAACATGTGCGCATAACAATAGACTCATTCATACAAAGCCCGAGAATTAACAACAAGCCCTTGGGCGGAGTAGCTAACACGTCCTTGGGCGGAGTAGTTAAGAGAGGTGATCCAATGGATCACCATCCACACTGGCAGCGAAGCAGAGACTTTCAATGCCAAAAATACCAGGGGCTTTCGCAGATACGAAGTACAACCCAATAAGCAGGACATGCCTCGTGAAACGGTGTCGACATATGATGTTGAGCCAGTAATGTTAGCATGTGCGCATAGCAGAAGAATAATTTACACAGTTTCCGACATTTAACCTACTTACATATGAAAATTATGCATATTTATCGCCACGCGACTGCCTTTGGAAGCGTCCCTCAATGTCGTGCAGTTGGTTCCGGAGGAGACGCGGGGCCTTGGCCATGCCATCCATACCTGTTCGTGTCGAGGCCGTCTTCGTTAATTTTTGCAGATTGTTTAATCGCAATTTTACTGATCAGCAGACGCTTGTCAGAAGCATGGCTGGGGCTCCTGGAGCGTATGGCTTCTGTGATCAGGAGCATGAGCGCCAGCCTTCTCAGGTAATAAGCAATTATCTACTGTAACATCTCACGTGACCACGGCGCAACTTCGGTGACTGCCAGGGCTGGTGACTACCTAGTGCACCAATGGATCACCATATCGACAGTGCCCGTCTCGATGGCGAGATGTATTGACTGGTATGCACGACACGTTGCCTGACTAATGCAGAAGAGGTAATGGCTTGAGGCGCATGTGGACCTGGGCTTTATGGCGGACCTGGCCAATTTGCTGACCAACGGGCCGGAGCTCGACGCCAACGAGGCATCGGATGCAATAAGTGCGCACCAGCTTCTCGAGAATGGGCTGAAGGACCTTGCGACCGTGAAGGCAGTGACTGACGGTAAGGTCGCATTCGGTGCGGTTGAGTAGCAAGAGCGTTAAACCCTGCTGGATAAAATATAATCAAGCTCCTTCAGCAAATGCTGAGCACAAGTTTTGTTGGGGGTCGGGACCTTGGATACTGGCTTACGCAAGGTGTAGCTGCGCTTGTCGATGTGGCACACCGGAATGCACACCGGAATGCACACGTACTGAACACACCCACGAGGCACCACCAAGTCTTCGAGGTTTCAGGGCGCTTATGCATCCTTTTCATTGTAGCCGTGCTAGTGCTAGACACATGCCCATACATACACCCAGACACACATTTCATGTGCACATCCAAGAGCATACCACATGAACAACCTCATGCTTCGCTTGTCTCGGGAGCTTTTTACCTCACCCCAACCAGAACCCAATACACCTAGTTTTCTGAGCCATGTTGGTGCCTTTGTTCTCTCCATAATGCATGCGGTGCAGGGGTGGAGACCCACACTGTGCTTGTGGATGCAAACCCGGCGATTTCATCATTGTGGGAGCTGGCACCTGGCCTGACAGCAGTGAAGGCCCTTCAGCTCACCAAGGGAGCTTGTGCCCCGGCTGTGCAGCGGCACGAGGACTCCTATGAGGACTCCAGCTAGGGGGGCAAGAAAGTGCATCACTGGCACACTACGGCAGTTTGCATGTATTCATTAGAAGTTAGACATGTGAGTGATACATGCCCAATATCATTTTGGACCTTGTGTGCCTTGTGTTCGAGCTGTTCAACCCAGGGGTCAAGGTTGATGTATATGTTCATGGACCATGCAAACACACGTGTCCATGCAATTTCCTTTTATGACGAGTGCATGGACGGGCTGGCAGAGATAAATGCATGGAAGGGGAACATGTTTCTTGAACCAGTGGACAGATTGAGGAACAGCCACAGCCTACAGGGGCTGTTTTTTGCAAGATGTGTGCATGAGTATCAGGCAGGAAATGTGAAGCAAGCCGTGGTACTATTGAAGTCAGGGATTGGTTACAGCTGGTTTCGTGATGTGCTGAATTGGCCAGTGTGTTTTCTGCAGGAGCGCATCTCGTTTGTCAGGCTGTTACCCACAGGTGCCTCTGGAGAGCTTCAATGGGGCACTCGTGTACAGAATCCACATGGAAGTGTAGTTGTATATATGGGGCCTGCCACTGAGGAGTTCGCATGTTTTTATAGCCGTGTTGGGAGTGTGCCAGGGATGAATGCCTAGGCACACACAATGCCCCCTCCTTGTGCACCACGGTGATGGGTGGTGAAGAGGCTGCCCAGAATGATGGGCTGTGAAAAGGTATTGGGTACCCCAGTTGCATGCTTTTGTTTGCCCATCGCCATGATGGAAGGTACTGTCTGGAGAATGCTAAGCAATGTGTGTGTACTGTACTGTTGGAATTGAATCTTTATGGCTAGGATCCAGGGAGGTTGTACTTGGTCATTTAGTTTTGAGGCTACTTGAGTATAAAGCTCGCAGGGAGGATGGACAGGAAATACACTAGGGTAGATAGTTTCCTAGCCTGTGTGTTGTGCTTAATAATAATGCAGACCACCACTTCTTCTGCCACCACCACTTCTTCTGCCACCACCACTTCTTCTGCCACCACTGCTACCGTCGCCACCGCTTCCACCTGCACCACTTCCACGGCAGCCACTTATGCCACCACTGCTTCTGCCGCGGTGACTTCCACCACTCACACCAAGACCCAACACGGCATGGATATGCGGCAGCGACCACATCATTCCATTGCCACCACGGCCCAGCACGGTGTGAGTGGGCAGCAGAAGCCATGCCATCTCGCTTCTCAAAGTCCCATCACCGCCGCTGCTGCCACTTTGGCCGCCGCCTGTTTGGCCGCCACCACTTTGGCCGCCACCACTTTGGCCTCCGCCACTTTGGCCTCCGCCACTTTGGCCTCTGCCACTTTGGCCGCCACCATTTTGGCCTCCGCCACTTTGGCCGCCGCTGCTTTGGTCGCCACTGTTTCCGCCGCCACTGCTTCTGCCGCCTCTGCCGATAGTGGGGCCCATTAGACCATGAGTGGGCGGCAGCAACCGTGTTGTCTCGCCACCAAACACCCCATCATCCCCGCTGCTGCCGCGGGGGCTCAATACAGCGTGCATGGGAGGCTGCAGCTGCACCGGCTCGCCCCCCAACACTGTATCAAGGCTGCTATTCCAACCGCCACCGTTGGTGCTGGGGCCCAATGCGGCACCAGCCATGTCCACAACGGGCTCAAGTGTGGGCAATCCCAGTCCCCAGAAGGAATGCTGCTTAGTGGTGGTCCCAGGCAAGTCATGTGATAGCAAGCATCACACCCATCACAAAATAGCATGTCACCCCAGCTACCCTCTTCTGTCTCCCCGCAGACCACACATGGTGCATCAGGGTCCAGGTCATCGGCGCCACCATTCTGACTGCTGCAAGTGCTTCCAGCCCCGTCCTCTCCTGTGCTTGAATACGATGCACCGTCATCATCAGTGCTGACGGTGCTGACTGCATGACCAGACCTCGCCCCCCATCCAGGCCGACCACGCTTGCCTGCAGGGGGAGAGCTCATTAAAACATGTTTTCTCCTGTCACAAGAACGCCCAGACCCAACTTACGTGCCTCCAATAGCCCAGCATCAACAAGCTTCCTGCGCGTCGCGACTGTTGTCTTGAAGCCAGCCATGCCGGTTACCATGCCAACGGCTTCCTCCTTACCAAACATCTCACAACGCTAGTCGAACTGCTGAAAGAGCAGCTAATGTGTGGTCGTGGCACATTGGGCATTATTGCATTGCTGACCGATGGTACCCATGTACAGGGACATCGGCAGTCGACCAGCAGCAGCTGCAGTGTGCCTTTGAGCGTTTCGACACGCGGAAAAAGAAAGAAGGGATGTCTGAGCTGAGGGCTGCACTAGTGGAGATGGGTGTGAGGCTGAGCCGGAAGGAGTTGGGTGCAGCACTCAAGACTGCAGGGTTATCATGGGGCCAGCCGACACCGCAGCAGGTGGGCCAAACCTCATCATGACTGTCTTCTTAGCACATGAGGCATGCTGTGAGCCATGGAATGCTGACGAGATAGTTCCTGCCCGTTTCTGCCGCCCACGTCGACCACATCCTCCTTAAGGTCCTCTGCATCACTGAGATTCCCATCCAGCAAATTAGCTGCCATGCTGCGTGCCTGCCCGCTTGGCTGCCTGCTTCACTTCCTGCACTCACACCCAAAAACATGATTGGCGATGTTGACAGCATGCAGCGACTACATGCATATTCACCTCAAAACTCCGCATCAGTTCCTCCCTCGTGGCTTGCAGAATGCAAGGCAAAATGAAAGTGTGGAGGTACCAAACAGGGCAACATAGCATGGGAAAGCATTACGTATCCTGCCACCTTGGCGGCATACTGCTCGTCACGTGCAAGGATATCAGCTGCAAGCACAGTTCCTTCCATAGATCCACAGTCTGTGCGTTCACCAAGGGAATGCATGGGAAAACCAGGGCAACACGTGTGGCCATACAACTGCCACCGCAGGGGCCACCAGACTCTGAAGGCACCCAGCTTGCAATATGTCCGGCCGACAGGTCCTTGGTGACCCCCTTATTGCACATATGCGGTACGTACTGCGCCGCAGTGCCGAACGTGTTCTGCAGGGCGGGCTCTAGGACAATCTGCAGGAGATAGTACAGCGGTATAAACTAGCACTCTGGGAAAGGTTTTCACCCGTAAATTCATGTTTACCCGTAATCACGTGGTCTTCACATGTAATTACCGGCCAAGAAAATTTGTACACATGCTTGTTTTTAAGTTGCCAAAGCATTCCTTTTATAAGGAATAACATAGGTGACATTTTGTTGGTTGCCCGTGCTGGAAGTCATCCACAGGTTACATTACCCGTAATCACAAAGTCTTGACCCGTAATCCCCCAAGCCGTAATGCACAGCACCCGTAAAATTTTACCCTAAGACGTTTTATGCGTGTGTGTGTGTTACATGGTTGGGGGTGCGTGACCCCATACCTGTAAGACTACCCATACGAGCCGAGGGCCCAAGGGTAATACTACAACGCCTAAAAGCCACGGAGGAAAGGAAAACACCGCACATCAGCCCAGACTAGCGTCTAAAGGGGGTAATTGAGTTTCGGTGAGCCCGCATATGTTCCAATATCCTCGCCACACGTGCGGGTTCCCATTGCATGGCCTCCAACATGCTCTGTTGATGATCGAATCCTTCTTCAGCACGAATATCATTATAGGCTGGGCATTCCAATAACAGGGGTTCACATCCTCAATTCGGCTATTAGTACCACAACAGTGGCAAAACCGCTGCCCCCTGGGGACGTGGTACTTGCCCCTTCATGCTCTGTTTGCCTCCAAAGCCCAGCAACATAAACGAAACTGCATTACCTTACTATATGCTAAACGAGGAATGAAAACCTTAGCATGTGTTGGCCACATGACGGCTGCGGCTCCCGAAAAGGGCAGCCCCATCCAGTGCTTATACTTCACCACTGTGATCCATCTTCGTATTTGCTGAGCGCGTCTGCCTGCTGCTGCTGTTCCCGGCTGCGTGGGTACCACACCACTGAAATGTCTGTGTCCGTATCCGTGCAGAGGCGATGGATCTCCGCCACTATGGGCAGGCAAGCGGTGTTGCCTTTCATCCCAACCATGCAGAATTCCGCCGGTTGGCTGTCCGTCTGGTATTGCACTGTCCGGCCGTACAACAGGTTCGGTGCCTGCTCTTGCAACCAGTGCAAGCTGTACAGCAGCGCCCGCAGTTCTCTTTCTGTGCTGCTAAAGTCATTCCGCTGCAGCCGCTGGGTTTCCTGAGCTTGAAGGGCA